GAGGAAAAGTACCATTAAAGCATTAAATACGAAAGTAGAAACAATAAGAAACAACAATAAAAATGTCAAGAAACAACTGCTAATTTTGATAAACAAAAAGCAACGATAAAAAACAATGGAAGAAACAAATAATAATTTTTAAAAGAACAAAAATAGACACAAACACAGCAAGCAAAAAAGTGTAGGAGCACGAAGGTAATAAAATAATTACTCAAGAAAGACAAAGAAAAAGCAAGGAAATAAACATAGGCTATAGAAATGAAAAAAGAAACAAATACGGAGTATAAACAACGAAACTCACTAGCAGAACACAATTGTTAGGTCCCCTATATTTTGATGATAATGTAATAGTTTTGATAATGCCACCCCTTTTTATCATCCCTGTATTAGACTAGTCTACTAGCTATGTTCTACTTTGTTTATTTGTAATGTGCTCCATATTTAGTGGTAAAGTACTCATAAAAAGCAAAGAGTACTAAAAAAAGAAGGGTTGAGATTAAGTCTCGTAGATTCGGAAGCCCAACACACGCTTTGGATATTAAGGATGTTTGTCTTGGTTAAAAGGTGTATAAAATATAAAACAGTGAATTAAGACTGAACTCAGAAGCTAACTTGTATTACATAATTCTGCGATTACACTGAAATTGCCCGAACGGTAAGTCAGTATGAGTTCAAATACAAGAACAAGAAAGATGATTCTATTGCTAAGATCCGAGTCTAAAAATGCTAACCCTTTACAATGTATTCAATGCAAATATTTATACTAAGAGGGGGTAGGTGAGATGGTGACGTGGCTGAACCCGGTTGGCTGCTGCCTCTTCCGCCTTGCACCCATGCCTCTACTTGCTATTGCCGTATTTCAGCATTAAATGCGTCTCCCACTTGCTGACTACCTGGACGGGTAGTGCATTCGGTGTGCGGGATCCTTTTGTGGGTGTTTGGATGTCAGTACTCTGTTAATTATCTCAAGTGAATAAATCGACCTGAATGTTGTTCAGGTACTCCCCCGTTCGGGACGTTTGGGGCCTTTCTGATTGCGTTGGGCTCCTTGTTAGCCTTGGGCCTTCTTTATGCTTTGGGACGGGTGTATTGGGCTTGGGCCCTGTAACGCCCCTCTCAGGGTTAAAGGAATCGTTACACTAACTTACTACTTTTAAAAGTAAACTGCAATATACGGTCGTCTATTTAAGAAAATAACCCTGATAAAATATCAAAAGTAACTAAAACAACTCCAAATAAAAACTTGATAAAATATAGTTATCACCAGGAAATGTGATAACCACCTGGATCCAGGAATTTAATAAAACATCACAATCCTCAAATAAAATAATTATAATCTTTCTATTATAACACTGAATATACTGAAACAAAATAATATCTAGCTAGAAGCCGCCAAGGTCGTTCCCGTTAACTCATTGTGGCACACGTTCCACTCCTTCGTCATCTTCCTAGGCTTTGGCCTTACTTTTAGTATCTGTACATGTGAAGAAAGAAAACTGATAAGCTTTGCGCTTAGTAAGTCACTATGGATCCACAAAAATATCTAGAAGTCTATGTCAATTTATCAATAGATAAATTTAGGCTATAAGCATGCACTGAACAAATGACTAACGCATAACTTCTCAAATACATTCTGAGGGAGATCTCAAAAGGAAAAAAAAATCTCCGAAATAATTTCTCAAAACTGCTGGAGAGATTTCAAAATTTCTTTCTCAAAACATCTCTGTAAACTTTCTGAAAGAGATCTCAAAAATAACTTTCTGTAAACTTTCTGAAAGAGATCTCAAAACAACTTTCTGTAAAACTCTTTGTGGCTAATTTTACTCTGTGGGCCCGTGATATGTACTCAAAGGCGTAAATCCGACTGCTCAGGGGAGCGACCCACTAAACATATCGGACTCTCTGAAACTCTGATAACTCTGTGGGAACTTGTTCCCAAGTACATATCACTTAATCTTTCACTTTAAATATTAGTTCTTTTTATGGTGACGTTTGACTAAAAACATCATTAAATCTGAAAATAAAAGTACAGACAAAATCTTGACTATGTCAGATAATAAACATAACTTAATTCAGCAAATAAAATAACTCAGCCAATAATTCACCAAGTTCACATAATAGCACATAGACTAAAATCATTTATTAAAAATCAACCAGACTTCTTTCTTTTATTTGGTTGAACGAACATGTACAGGTGGTAGTGAACTTACCTGTTAAGAGCTGAACTCAAAATACTCAAATACGTGTGGCACCTTGATAACGTCTTCCGGTAAGCTCTTACTTGAAATCTTTATTTAGATTTAGCAATATGACTAGAGTTAGATGTATCCTTAATTCAACCAACAAGCTAAAACTTTAAACTTAACTCCCTACTGTTATACGCACAAAACTTCCAATTGACTTTAAAACAAAGTTCTGATCTCAAAAATCATTCTGCAGCAGCCCACTAAATTTTGAAATAGCTACGTATAAAAAAAATCTTTTTTTAAACTACAGAGTATTAAAATAGTAGCCATCTCTCTTTTAGTAAAATCTCTCTTTTAGTAAAATAAGAATGCTACTGTAATAGGTATGAAGATGACTTGCGATTGGTTGAAATAGTCCCAGTGTTTATTTAAAGCTCTCTGCATTAAGATATAATTCGTGTTGCTATAATCTAGAACATAGAATTCTACAATCTGACCAAAACATACTTATTCTAATTTAAATTAGCAGAAGCCACCAATCAGATTTGCCTCAGAAGAGTATTCAAAAAGAATTTGAAGCAGACCCAATTCACAATATGGCTGCACTAGTGAAGTCCAATTGCCCTATTAACTGAACATGATTTGCTGAACACGAGAAGCCTAACATTAAAACAACATCCTAACGATATATATTCAGAGGTCCATTGGAGGGCTTAGTTTCTAAAAATCAATTTTGCTAAATCCACTCAAAAAGAAAAACTTTCAATTTAAATCTGGAGTTTGAGGCAACCGCAACAGTTGAACTAAATCAAAATTTGGTTTTGGTGAAAACTTTTCTGCCTATACCCTTCTCTAACCAACACACCCAATAAACAACTAATTTCTGAAGTACTTCCGTAAGGTATAAAGACAATATGTGAAGGAAGGAAAATTGTGACATACCAGGTTTTTAGTTCTCAACTGTGTACACAATTTGGGAGAGATGAAAATTTTCTTTTGGCAGAGGAAGAGAATAAAGAGCAGCGGCTCCTTATTCAACGGAAGGGATAACTAGCCGCTCAAGGATGTTACTAATCGGTATATAAATTTACTTTTAGGGTTTTGGTTAAAAATACCGATTCGGGCCGAGATAATTGATTTGGGTGTCTTAAACTTAAAAAAAATTGAATCTGACCCAACTATATAACAATATTTTCCCTTTCTAAAAAAACTAATAAACTGATTTACTTTTGAATATTATTTATTACTTATATATTTAAATTTATTCGAGCTTGCCAGTCAACGTTACCTGCCACAAATAAAACATGATAAAACAATCTATCACATTATTCATAAAAGAAATTTATTTCACTTAACTAAAAATTGACTGATATAACTAGCTTACCAAATTGGGGTATTACAAGCCCAATACCCCAACACGAGTCCTCCACTTCCAATGTCTCGAACTGTAGTGAGTGCATAAGAAAGTAGAAGAATTCTGCCCGAACGCTGCTCGGGTATGTAGCGGACGAGATTTCGCCAGTTCCCGAGGCATAATCTTGACGGTTTTTTGCGGCTGCCATTTAAATTTCCCGATAATCGTCATGATTACTTGTTGGTGTTTCTCCGCGTGACACGTGTCCCTGTAATCATTCTTAGCGACGTGTCCTCCCCTGATTGGTTGATGAACCGACGTGTCAGGTTATAAATAAGGCCTTCGTGCCTTGGTTCTGGGTTTCCAAAATTTTACATCCTTCGTGGCGCAGCTCTGCCTTCTCTCTAGAGCTTAGTTCTTGGTAGTGTTCAGGTAACCTTCGCTCCTTCGCTTTTTCTCCCTTCTTGTTCGGTAAATACGTCGCGTCAACCATCCCCCTCCGATCCTTCTGTTCCTGAGGTGATCCCTCATGAGGAGGTCCAAGATGACGCTGTAGAGAATGTGGAAAATTTCGGCCATGCTTCCGGCGACGCCTCCTCCCATAGTACTTACTTGGATGGTACTAAGTCTGGCGATGAGCTTGATTCTATGGAGGCTTGCCCTCCAAGCGATGTTCCTCATCACAAGCTTGATCTAACCCTAATCCGGCTGCGGTGGCAGAAGCTCACAGGCCCAAACAGGGCCCTAATCATAACTTTGATTCCTGACCCGGTGGACTTCCGCCTCCAAGCTGGGCTTCACCCAATGTGTCATTTCCCCGGGATGGTGGTAGTCCATTTGCACTCGGTGAAACTTGGGCTTAGATTCCCGCTCCACCCTTTTTTCGTTTCTTTATTGAATTTTTACGAAGTGGTGCCGGCTGCGTGGATGTCAAGGTGACGCCCACCTTAGATTTGTTCCACTATTTTTTCTCGGTGATTCCCCGGCAGGCCCAAGGGTATTTAGTTGTTAGTGCCCGATCGGGCCAGATTCTATTCTCCGATGCCCCCTCCTCAATCAAGGGATGGAAAGATCGGTTCTTCTTCGTCTCTGTCCCAGACGGTTTGATTCCGAGGAAATGGAATGCCTTCCCGCCGAAGTCTCCTGAGCCGTTCATCTCCGAGGAACTCAGCAAAGACGTCATTGCTGTGGAGGCCAGTGGTTGCTACAAAATCAGGGCCTACCTGGCCCCCGATCGGCTTATAAAGGCCAGGATTGGTACTGCATGTATTCCTGGATTTACTTGATTGAACCCAAGTGTCATGGCCCGTGCGGTCCTTCCCGTGCGAGAAACGCTTTGTTTTGTTTCACACACGCTGAAGCCGTTCGGTACTAACATTTTCCTTTGTTATTTTCAGCTTTTGATCCAGGCGCAAGCCCGGACCCCAAAGGAGCCAACCACCCTTAAGAAGTCATGGATGACAGTAGCCATCCCTGTCATGGCTCCAAAGAAGGGTGTAAAGCTCCCAGTTGCTCCGAAGAAGAAGCAGGAGAAGGTTGTGAACCCCTTGTTCGAGAAGCGTCCCAAGCAATTTGGCATCGGTGGAGCGTTGCCGCCTAAGAAGGATCTGACCAGGTTCGTGAGATGGCCTCAGGTTGTCTGTATCCAGAGGAAGAGACGCATTCTCAAGCAGCGTTTGAAGGTCCCACCTGCCCTCAACCAGTTCTCTAAGACCCTTGATAAGAACCTTGCTACAAATCTTTTCAAGATGCTCCTGAAATACAGACCTGAGGACAAGGCTGCAAAGAAGGAGAGACTTTTGAAAAGAGCCCAGGCTGAGACTGAAGGGAAAACTCCAGAAACAAAAAAAAAACTATTGTTGTCAAGTTTGGGCTTAAGCATGTCACTTATCTTATTGAGCAGAACAAGGCACAACTAGTTGTCATTGCACATGATGTAGATCCCATTGAAGTGGTGGTCTGGCTTCCAGCTTTGTGTAGGAAGATGGAAATTCCTTACTGCATTGTGAAGGGAAAAGCAAGATTGGGCGCAATTGTACACCAAAAGACGGCATCCGTTTTATGCCTTACCACAGTGAAGAATGAAGACAAGTTGGAGTTATCCAAAATATTGGAGGCTATAAAGGCTAACTTCAATGACAAATATGAGGAAAATCGCAAAAAAAATGGGGTGGTGGTGTCATGGGTTCAAAATCTCAGGCAAAGACCAAGGCCAAGGAAAGGGTTCTTGCAAAGGAGACATCTCAGAGAATGTCTTAATTTTTGTACGGGTATTTTTCTAAATATTTATTGCAGTTTTCTGTTGTAAGGTTTGGACAAATGTTAAACAGTCTTTTAATTTCGATACGCCTGATTGGCCTTTGAAGTTTGAGTTTTGTTTTTAGTACCATCAATAGATAGGCATTATTGTTTTCAAAAAATCTAAGGTTCAAGTAAATCATGTAAGCTCGGAAGAAAATGAAGCAAGTTGTTACTAAGCCATTACCCAAGGCCCCTTTTGAAAAACATGTGAAAGAACATAAGAATTCTAAAGCTTTCCAAACTCCCTTGGTTAATGTAAATATCATGGGAGGTGTAGCCATGAGGTGGAATCTTATACCTACACACCACTACATAGTACATACATTATACTCTTTTCCTTAAACTAAGCTTTATTTTTCCATTAAGTTTTGTTACTTGATAAAAAGTATAATGAGGTAACGATTCATATTGATCAAAGCAATGATCAAATAAGACTCGATGAACAAAGTCTAACATAGTCTTCATATTGTTTCCTTTCTGTCAAAGTTATTTTTTCCCACAATTTTTTTTGTTACTTAATGAAGTTCTTACAAGACAACTTGGTGTGAATTACATATTTACAACTCAACACAATGAGAGTATTGAAGAAAATTACATATAATATTTGTTTGTTATTGTTGGTCCCGTTTGAGTTGGTAATCAGTCTAGAGGGGGGGGGGTGAATAGACTGATTCAAGTTTTTCAACTTTTCTCTAAGTCAGAGTTGACTTATCAGAGAGGGTCGAGTTCTGATGATCAGAACTGGTCTTGCAGCGGATAAAGGTTCCGGGTAGCCTCAAACAATCACTAAAGCAAAGGCCTTTCTGATAACTCTGAAAACAAGATCTGCTGAACACAGATTCCAAGTTTTAGAGTTAATCAGTTAATGTCCTAGGTGCAGAAATATAAATTGCAGTAAAGTAAATGACACCGGATATTTTTATAGTGGTTCAAGGAACAACGCGTTCCTCTAGTCCACTGTTCCACTAGCTTTGAGGTAGATCGGTTACAAAGCTAATCCCTAGTACTTAAGAAGTTCTCCACGCCTTCTTCAAGCCTAGTTGTCACCCGGGATGCAGTCCTGCTTCCTGATGACTGGTCCTTTCACTCAGCTTCCCGGAAGTATCACCACTTCACTACTGCAGTTACTTGGACGCCCTTCTTTTCAGAAGATCCTTTGAAAAACACAAAGTTTTTCCTCCAACTTGCTTCGTTACAAAAGATGTTTGATGAAGATCTTGAAGTGTTGAAGAACAGGATGAACTTTGCTCTTGTTGGGGATGAGAGATTGTGAGGTTGAATCTTCCCAACGTAAGCTTTTTCTTGTTATTGTGTTGTGGAGTTTGAATATCAAGAATGCTTGTAGTATGAAGTTTTGAGCAAAAGTTGTTTTTGCAAAAGTTGTTTTCCCGTTCTTCGGTGAGTAGCTTATATACTTGGGTTGTCTGCCCGTTGGAGGAGGAGACAACTGCATTAAATGCGCATACTGTTGACTTGACCGCCGTTTTGAAAGGTTTCTATTTTTATAATATATCTTCCAGATTTCTCGGCCAATCATTTGCAATAAATCCAAAGTGTATCAGGCTCTGTATCAGGCTCATTTAATGTGCATTAAATGCTTTCCTTCCATGCACAGTCTTCTAGCTGTTGGATGTTATACCCGTTGAACTCATAGCTGTTGGATGTTGCTTGAAATCTTCTAAGTGTTGGTCGGACTCTGATTGAAGTCTTCTGATACGTTGGATTCTGATGGCTTCCTGAGGAGTAGTTCTGATGTAGTTTCAAGTCAAGCTCTGGTGTGGGAACTTTGATGCTTTCTGTTCTTGAATTCTGATGAAGCTTCCAGTCGAACTCTGAAGAGAGAACTCTGATGCTTTCTGATCTTGAATTCTGATGGAGCTAAACATTCAACTCTGATGCTTCTCTGATGATCAATTCTCATGAACTGCTGAGAGTAACTCTGATCGGATCCACAAGCGAGCAACTCTGAGGGCAGTTCTCATAGAGCAACTCTGATCAGATCCATAGAAGAGCAACTCTGATCGTCGACTATACTAATACTTACATCATAAAGTACTAATACATGAAATCTAATTTGGGGGTACTTTAAAATTCTAATCTAAATAACCTAGCATCATCAAAATCTAATTACATTTATTCCTTACAGTTATACATAAAAAGTATATCCACGTTTAGTTAATAAGTCATCAATTGATTCATCTTCTATAAAATCCTAATTCAGTTTTTAAAAAGAGTTAACTAATGGAATGAAATGGCGATTTACTTACTTCCTATAATACGCAGTATAAAGAAAGTCGCCCATAAAAAAATCAAGGGAAAACTATCAAATAGGTCCTCGAACTTTCATAAAAAGTCAATTAAGTCCTTCTATAGAAGACTCTGTTCGGTCGTCGCGATTTGGGGCGGTTCCCGGTGAAATTTTTTGATGAAATTTTTTGAGCATCTTACTCATCAAGTCTAGTTTACTCATACCAAATTTCAGCTAAAAATCTAATCGGGAGCACATTCAAATTAATTCGAGAACGCAAAAATGCGCAGTTATCTTCAAGAATTAATTTGAATGTGTTCCCGATTGATTTTTTAGATGAAATTTGGTATGAGTAAACTAGACTTGGTGAATAAGATGCTAAAAAAATTTCATCAAAAAATTCCACCGGGAACTGCCCCAAATCGCGACGTCCGGACAGAACCACCTATAGAAGGACTTAATTGACCTTTTTATGAAAGTTCGAGGATCTATTTGACAGTTTTTCGAAAAATCAAATATTGTGTTAGGTTGTTACAACTACATACATTAACTTTGCAAGAATGAACTCATCATCATAAAGTTAACGGGAAAAGGGCCAAAATGGACACTGAGGTTTTTAATGAAGTGCGTATTGGACATTAAGGTTTTTTTTAGATCAAATAAACACCAAATTAGACTTTTCAGACCTCATCGCCCACCCCCTAACATTTCCCGTTAAACGCCTTCTCTTCCCCGTTATCACCCAGGTCCATGCGATTAGAATCTCCCAAATTCAACAACCCTAACCCTAACTCACTTCCATGGCTACTAAGTGTGAGATTGTGCGAGTGAGTTGAGAAGATTAGAAGGTGTGGAACTGCACTATCAGGATTACAAGACGTATGACTGGTCGAAGGTAATCTTCCAGTGCTGTTTTTGTTCGTTACAATGAATGAGTTGGTTAATCTCAGATTTAACCATAGCGGAAGGCGGGTTTTGAAGCCAAAGTTACAGTATGTGAATGGGGACGCTGATACAGTTTATGGCTTTGACCCTGATTTTATGTGTTATCATGACATTTCAAGAAAATACAAGGATGACTTGGGGTTTAAAACACTGAAAAATATATATGTTTTAGAACCTGGAAAGGATTTGGACAATGGACTTTTCTTAGTTCAGGATGATGACACTATAAGGAAAGTGTTAAATCGTATAAGGAGATTTTCTTGGATTGATACTATTGAACTATATGCTGACCATCAACTGGATGAACCCATTTTGATTCCCCTTATAGAAGGTTCATTTTCTGAAATTGATAACCATGATATTGATGATGAGAATGATGGTGGGTTGGGTGATGAGTCTGCCAATACAGATTGGAGAGACCAAAGTGCTGAAGTGAACACAAGTGGTGTCCCAAATGGCTATGTTACAGATGAAGAATCAAATACAGGCTCAGAAGATGAAGAGAGCAACAATTCTGATCCATCCTCCGAAAATGATGGTACAATCACTTACTCTGCAACAGATGGGTCAGATTGTTTTATGCAACGAATGACCTTTGCAGATGCTGAAGATGCTAGGACTGCAATTGGTAAATATGGGGTTAAATATGGTTGCAAGCTGAAAATCAAGCCGAATGAGAAGAATAGACTGGCCGTTAAATGTTTGAATGAGGATGGCTACCCATTTAGATTATGGATTTCTCAAGATGGGAAGAACTGTGGGTTGGCAGTGAAGATTTGCAACATTGAGCACAAGTGTTTCCGACACTATTCTATTCCGAGTGCTACTCAAAAGTGGCTTGCAAATTACTTTAAAGGCCACCTGCAAAGAAATCCTAGCTTTCGAGTTGCGGACATGAAAGAGGAGGCTGAGAAGAAGTTGAAGATAAATGTTAGCTTGTATAAATGTAAAAGAGCTAAAAGGTTGATTATGCAAGAAATGGATGGTAGTTATAAGGCTGAGTTTGGGTACCTAGAAGCATATGCTGCCACATTAAAGAGGAGTAATCCAGGTTCAAAAGCTGAAATTGAACTCTGTAGTGAAGCATTGAAAGAAGGGAGGAGAGTATTCAAGAGAATGTTTATATGCTTTGCTGCTTTGAGGCAGAACTGGCTGGCTGGTTGTAGAAGAATCATTGGTGTGGATGGTTGCTTTCTAAAGGGTGTTTGCAAGGGTAATTTATTGAGTGCAGTGGGGTTGGATGGAAATGGGCAGATGGTCCCTATAGCATGGGCAGTGATTGATAAAGAAAATAAGTCAAATTGGAGGTGGTTTTTGAGTTGGCTTGTTCAGGAACTAAACCTCAATACTGGTGGTGAGTTAACACTCATTTCTGATATGCAAAAGGGGCTGATTATTGCTGCTCAAGAGGTCATACCAGATGCAGAGCATAGGTTCTGTGCCCGACATGTGTATGCTAATTGGTCCAAAAAGTGGAGAGGCAATGAGTTCTGCAAAAAGTTTTGGATATGTTCTTGGAGCACATATGAAGAAGAGTTGCAGCTGAATCTTAAAAGCTTGGAAAATTGAGCACTGAAGCTGCTTCTGACCTTTTGAAGTATCCAGTTCAAACATGGTGTAGAGCATACTTTAGTAATAGAAGTTCATGTTGGATGGTTGATAATAACATCACAGAGTCATTCAATTCATGGATTCGGGAAGCTAGATCAAAACCTATTGTA